AGTGAACAAAAATGAAATCATGAAATTTGCAGGTAAATGGATGGAAATAGAAACTGTTATACTAAGTGAAGTAACACAGACTCAGAAAAAAAATCGACATATGTTCTCCCTCATATGTGGATCCTAGAACCAAATCCTGATAAGTGAGTATTGCTTTATATTTTTGAGACAGGGTCTCACTATGTAGCCCTGGCTGACCTGGAACTCACTATGTAGATCAGGTTGGTCTGGACTCACTGAGATCCACCTGCCTCTGCTTCTACAGTGCTGGGATTAAAGGCAGGCACCACCATGGCCCACAAGGGTTCCACTTTCATATCCAGTGTTCAGTGTTCTAGTTATGAAGATATTGCTCACATTTTAATGGCTTTCTGATGTGCACTCAAAATATGCCTTTGCTTTGAGCTTGGATTTAATTCAGCACAAGATCAAGGGTTCACGGAGTAAAACTGTTTCACATACGAAAGAGAGTCTGATTTTATTACACACACAATGTAATATTAGTCTTTAGTGACATTGTTTTGGTAAGCTCTTTTGGAGGTAATTTTTGTTCTCAATTGTAGAAGGTGTTTTTACTGTCCTCTGTGAACTAGGGGCATGTTAAGGTAACTGCTATGTGTGGTCTTGAAGCAGCTAGCTCCTGGTCTCTGGAGTTGGTGTGAGGGAGCTGCATTGACTAAAATGAGCGCATTTCCTCCTGAGGCACATTAATTCAAGAAAACAAATGACTGCTAGTATAAATATGGTTTTTGGCATAGAAAACAGAAAGATACAGTGGCTGAGGGAACCCATGCAGAGGAAAATTTGGTCTGAAGCATGAGATCCCTTGTTTGCATATGGATGTGCATATTTGTGCATGCTTGTATTTGATTATGTATGTGTGTACATGTTTGTGTATGTGTGTACATATTTGTGTATGACTGTGTATGTGTGTACATGAGTATGTATGGGTGTGCATGTTTGTGCATGATTGTGTATGTGTGTACATGTTTGTGAATGATTGTATCTGTGTGTATATGTGTATGTCTGTACATGTTTGTGTATTCATGTACATATTTGTGTACGTATGCATATGTGTATGTACATGTTAATGTGTGTATGCATGTGCGTATGTGTGTTTGCCTGTATGTATGTGTATGTGTGACTGTATGTGAGCATGTATGTACATGTCTGTGTATGTGAGATGTATGTGTATATGTACATAAGGGTATGTATGCCTGTGTATACATGTGTATCTGGGCCTATTTGTGTGTATGTTTATACATGTTTTTGTATATGTGTGTATGTGTGTTGATGTATGTGTGCATGCATGAGTATACCTGTGTGTACACATATATGTGTGTCTATATGTGTGTACATATTTGTGTATGTGTGAGTATGTGGGTATGCTTGTGTGTACATGTGCATGTTTGTATATGTGTCTATGCATATGCCTATATGTTTATATGCATGTGCCTATATATGCATGAATGTGCCTATATGTGCATGTATGTATATATACAGATGTGCATAAGTGTGCATGTATGTGTACAGTGTACATATGTGTATGTATAGCTGTGTACATGTGTGTACCCATATGTGTATTTATGTGCATGTTTGTATGTATGCATGCATGTGTGTATGCATGTATATATGTATATGCATGTGTGTATGCACATGTATATGTGTGTTTGTGTATATGTATGTCTGTGTACTGTATATACCATTTTTGTCTTCATGTCATAGTGTGCACTGGAGTCATGTACTAAATCTCTTAGCAGTGACACCAGTCTGCTAATTAAAACATTAAAGCTCTTCTACCTTTAAGTATAGTTATCTAGTTCGTTATTTCATTTGAATCTACTTTCGGAGGGTGAAGCTAAATTCCTTCTAAAACATCCATTTGAAAACTTCCTCCAAAATCTAAGGTAGCTTGCAAGACTTCACCAGAGATAAGGCTCTTTCCCTTTCATCTGCCCTCTCCCACCCTTCCCCACCTCTTGTTCCTTCTATCTCTCTGCTCAGCTCTCTTCCCCTTTGCTCATGATCTCTGCTTCCTCTTTCCTCTGTCTCTTTGTCTGCCTGCCTGTCGTCTCTGTCTCTCTCTTCCTTCTGTAGCTCTCTGACCTCTCACCTGGACGTAGTTCTAATCTCACAGCAGAGTGGCCTTTCTCCCCACGTCTGTCCTGACTTAAACACTGGTCAAGGCCATGATTTGCTGTTGGGAAGATTCAAAGCCTTAAGAAACAATAATAAAAGCTTCTAGAATGTTCTACCTGGGATTTCAGGGGACTATGCCAAGGGGGTTAAGGGAAAGTAGCCTTAAGTAAATGGCCTGACATTAGACTGGCTTGTTCAGACTAGAATGTTCTTTCTCCACAGGAAGCATCCTGCAACATTTGCTTGTGGCTAGTCCTTCCATGGCTAGGCATGTGACTGTAACCACCTCCTGGGTCTTATCTCCAAGGGCTTTGCTTTCCTAAATCTCCATCTCATATGGAAAACAGACAGAAACAGACAGTACAGTGATAAACTCTGTGGCTGAACAGTTTTGGTTTGGTTGAAATAGGAAATAGTGACACTGAGAGTGTTTCCAGGTGCCACCACCAGGACCTGTACTCTGCTTTCCCACCCCGCTTCGCTTCCTTTGCTGCCTTCTGTGTCCCACCTTTCAAGTCATCTGTGAGAGAGGAGACGGCTTCTCAGGACTTCCCTCCTTACACCACTCTTTGTCCTTCATCCTGGACCTGCTCCTAGGTGTAATATTTCACACGGCAGGCAGATAAGCTTTTCCTCTGCTGCCAACTCCTGGGAAGAAA